ACTTAGTGGGAGAGACAGAGATACCAAAAAGAAACGGAACAAAAACATACATGTACCAATTTTTTATAAGTATCATCTTGCATTTTGTAGATGTCTACCACATTTTTATCTAATTGACTATATAATTCAGTTTCATTCTTTTTAGTGTAAAAGAAATAGGGTATTCGACCTTTCACTGATCTCAGCCAACAAACCTGGATCGATCGATAACAACATCTCAGCCAACAAACCAATTTCAAGCAATATATTCCAGGAATGTAGAGTATTTCAAATTTTTTAAAATATTCTCACATTCCTTTCTTATCATGTTCAAGATATTTTCTTACAAAACAAAGGCCTTTGAAACATTGTCTCCCATTCTGTAACCTCTCGAGAGAATACGGCTCACAGGGTCCTTTCACATCTGTGCCGTTGTCAAAACAGCACGGGAAACAGGCATAGTCCTCTGGAAAATAAATTTAGAACGACTTCAAGTTGATTTAAACTTAATTTTAATTTAATTATCAAAGAAGGCAAAAGATTAAGAAAAACTGAGGTCATGCATAAATGAAGATGCTGTGAGAGCTCACGATAAGATCTGAAAAATATTACTGCTCCGACCATTTTATGGAAAGGAAAAACCAAATGGAAGTTAAGGCCAACTACCATTCACATTAGAATACATATTTTTAATATGTATTCTGCTCAGAACATTGGTTCCCTTCACCTTTTACTTTTAAAAAAGCTGTTGCCAGAGGCTGCTTTTCAACAGTCGCTCTGAAGTCGTTGTGCTTGGCAGACTTGGTATAATGACAGGATATTTCCAGCTCGGCAGTAACATTCTTGTTTCATATCAAAGTATGTCAAAATAAGCACAATTGTGTTAGATGATATACCTTTATATTTTTTCCTGAACGCTAAGCTGTGAGGTAAGATCAAAACCCTTATAATTATAAGATTCTTTTAAAAAAAATAGTTTTAGTAGAGGTTTTACGGCGCTCGCAACTGCATAAGGTCATATGAGCGCCAGAAGATTAGAGGTGTTACAAGAAAGTAACAAACATAAAAAAATAAGAAGGGGAGATAAGGAAAATAGATGTTTCATAGGAAAGAAGAAGCAAAGCACATCAGAGCACCCGCAAACCACCCACTATTAGATTCTACATTGAGTGTTGCTTAGTTGGAGAAAAGAGAAGCACATCAATACGATAACAGTCATTTAGTGCAGGGAAAAAACAAAACAGACAGAAACATCACAGAGAGATTTGTAAAAAATACTACCGGCACTGTCCAACAACTGTACGGAGCAATTATGTAAGTAATAAGTGTGTTAGCATGAATAAAGAACACATGCCACAGGTCACAGAGGACAGTTCAATAAACAATGGCTCACCAACCATTCATCGAATGTGTCCACACCACATCCTGGGGACATGGGTACACCAGTGTCAAAGAGTCCATCTATTACAACGGGAGCCAAAGATCAGAGAGATAAACAGAGAGGCAGAGTGCAGCACCATAGGACTAGGACAGATGACAATTAAAGAAACAATTTCCAAGACTAACCATGGACCTACCCTAAGAGGAACAAAGTCAAGACAAACCATGGACATACCATTAGAGGAGCAAAGACAGCTTTTCAGTTGTTTCCCTACGACCCTTCCTTCCACGCTACAAAAATCCAAGCAGGTCCCTTTCAAACACTTGCCTCTGCATATAAAATATCAAAACATATTTGCTTTTTTTAAAAGTGTGTGCGTGTGTGTGTGTGTGTGGGGGGGGGGGGGGTTGTAGAATCCACAGTTGTACCTGTCATAATATGCAGCATAATCTCTCTCTCTCTCTCCTCTCCTCAGTTTTAATTCTAGTTTTAATAACAATTTTACATTTGCAACACAAAAAAGGTCATATATAAGTGCCAAAGATTAAAGGTGACGCTAAAGAGTACCACACAAAGAAAAGGAGGAGTGATAGGGATGACAGATGTTTGATAGTATTGGGTCCAATCTTGTATACGTTATATACGCAGCCGCTTGGAGCTGTGATTAGAAAGCACAATATGAATTATCACATGTACGCTGACGATACACAGTTATATAAATCTGTTCCACCATCAGATGTTGAAACCTTGCTTACTACGATGGGTCTGTGTATTGATGACATCACAAAGTGGATGGTTGATAATAAGCTCCAGCTTAATGAAAATAAAACTGAAATTCTGTTATGTAACCCAAAGAAAAGCCATATCCCCGTAGACATTGATCATATTTGTACTGAAAATGAAACACTGTATTTTACTAACAAAGCAAAAAATCTGGGAGTGTATTTTGATTCAAAATTGTCAATGGAACATCATATCAAGTATTTATGTACCATTTTGTTTTGTGAATTGCGTAGAATTGGTCATATGTCTATGTTTTTGAACGAACACTCGTTGAAAACTCTCGTGTCATCTTTCTTGTTTTCACACATCGATTATTGCAATGCTTTACTAGCTAACTTACCAAATACCTCTCTTCACAAGTTACAACGTTTTCAAAATCATGCTGCTAGGCTTGTACTAAAGAAAAAGAAGAGGGACCACATTACTCCCATGTTAAGAACGTTGCATTGGCTTCCCGTGTCAGCTAGAATGTCATATAAAATTGCAATATTATGTCATAAATGTGTCAATAACAAAGCTCCCTCATATCTTAGTGATCTCATCCAGATTTATGTTCCATCTAGATCACTAAGATCAGGCGACCAATATCTTTTACGAGTTCCTAGAAAAGGCGGTAAAAAATTAGCCGAAAGATCGTTCGCCCACCTTGCTCCGTCAGTTTGGAACTCTCTTCCCCAACCCTTGAAACATACAACATCTGAGTCTAAATTTAAAAAATCTTTAAAGACACATTTAATGACATCCTTTTTAAGTCAGTAGATTCATGTTCAGTACAATGTTATGTAAATGTCTATGTATCCATTTATGTATTTTGTGAATTGCAGTGTATATATTATTTTATTCTCATTTCATGACGATGTGTAATCGTGTGCGTGTGATAAGCAAGTAGATGTGTGTGTGTGTGTGTGTGTGTGTGTGTGTGTGTGTGTGTGTGTGTGTGTGAGTGTGTGTGTGTGTGTTTGGCATACATGTGTGCGTGTTATGTGTTCGTGAGTGTGTATGCGTGTGATTGTGTGTGTGTATATGTATATGTGTGTGTGTTTGTGTGTATATGAGTGTGTGTGTGTGAGTGTGTGTGTGTGTCGCGTGCATGAATATTTTTCTTACATGCATTTATGTAAAGCGCCTAGAGCTGTGTTTACACGGGAGTGGGCGCTATAGAAATGATCTTCATTATTATTATTATTATAGTAAAAAGGAGCAAACCAACTACTTACCTTCCCCCTCCTCTGTTCTCTCTTTTATTTATGGACCCAACACACCATTGGTTACTTTAATGGCCATCTGCTGCATAAGCTAACGACTCACATACATGCTGCGTCTGGCCTGCATAACAACCCATCTTTAAGCTTTCCCCTTACCTAAGGAAAATAACATTTATGCCACACTGAATTCAGCCTGGCGCCCCTCAGGAGAACAGCTAGGGGGAGAGATCAGTTCTAACGCTGAGGGTTTTAAAAATGTTTCCACAGTGCATTTTATGTTCTATAAATACTCAGTCTTCTCTGAATAGCAGATAGTGCAAAATGCTTTTAGCAGTAGTGGGTAATATAAATGAACTTTAAGATCAATATTAGTATAGAAGGGATAAGATAGAAATGGAACTTTAAAATTAAATAAGAATTAGCTAAAAAACTGGATAGACGAAAAATAGTAGATACAACTGTATTAACCTACTTGTACTCTAACAAAAGGAACAGTAACTTGGAGAAAAAAGGGTCTCACTTGTTAAGACAAGGTGTCCCATCCTTTAAGTCCAACGGCAAGGGACATTCAAAGCTGACTCCTCTGAGAACTCAGTGAAGGAGTTCAGTTCAAACAACTGAGTCAGTGTAATATATAATGATTGTTATATTTCCAACTTTGACACATTGACTAAGGTGATTATTTTCAAATTTTGATCACATGTAGTAAGTAAAATTATAATGACAGTGAAAAACAGTCATAATTTTTGTAGTTTTTACTATAATTTTTTGTGTGCACTCAAAAAAAGAACAGTACATCAATTTCAATTGCTCTGTGCCATATTAATAGTTGTAAAGCGCATAGAGCTTGCTGTAGAGCCGGGATGTGAGCTATATAAATTCAATAATTATTTTTGTTATTTTCAAGAAACTTAAACAATATTCCAAGCAATGGAAGACTGAGAAACAGACTCAAAAGTCATTGATCTTATTTTACCTAAAACTGCAAAGCTTTTGAAAGTTCACTTTTCATCTTCTTTTCATGCAAGTCCTTCAAGAATCAGCGTCAGAGTCACATTTTACAATGAGGGGTTATCTTTTCAGACACAAACGTTTTCAAAGACTTCAGTTGTAAAATGTAATACTCTGTTCCCTAAGACAGAGCAAAAGCTTAACCCTCCAAGGATACGTGCACGCTGAGCTCTGCTTGCAGGTCCCAGAGCTTTCAGCAACGCACACTGTGTTATTTGAAGCCATTTGGCAGTTAACACAGCAATGTTTGTTCATCTCACTATGAAAAAAAGAGGCGATTTTTAAAAATTGTTTGTTTTTTCCAATGTAGAAACATACCGTGTTTAACACAATGAAAGACAATGCAGCAAACAGACGGTGTTATCAAGAAATACTTTGTCAGATGATGTCTCCAGGTAACACACAAACAAATGACCCAGCCAAAGTCTCATACATCTTCAAATGTATCTCTATATCTATAACTATCAACAAAAGCGGAAAAATTCAGTGTAATCCTTATCAGGTTCAGCCTATTTTGAAGTCCTATCTCCAGATAATACACTGGGACTGTAACAAGCATATCTTCAAGGATGCCACTGAGATTTTGTGAAAATAACTGAAAATTTAAAAAGTTATATTAGCAAATTAACAGACAATAGACA